CTCTCTCTCTCTCTCTCTCTCTCTCTCTCTCTCTCTCTCTCTCTCTCATCCAGGAGATCTGAGCTTTGCTTTGCTAGATCATTTAAGAGGATGTAAGGAAAGGTTTTTAGCTTGGTGTGATTTTTTTTTTCTTCTGCACCATTTCATTGGCAATACGCAGCCTTCACAAGTCCGTGTATCGTTTGGATCACGGACGTTAACCTGAAATGTACCCTAGCTGTTCGAGGCAAAGCCGGGCGACCCGGCAGCCCTTCATCTGCCTCGTCTACCACGATGGCTTTGTCCATATTCCGAAAGCTGAATGGTATCAGGCATAATTAGTTTTACATGAAGAATCTAAATCAGGTTAGTGTTTGTTTTTTCAATTAGGATATATAATTCACTTCACCAAGGAATGCTTGTGGGATTTGAGTCAATTTTCGCGATTACTGTAGAGAATAAACTTTCCTAAAGAGCTACGTTTTCTCCATAATGAGGATTTAGCCCTCTAATCACCTGGTATTTTTAAGAACATCACCAAATTGGAGAGTCTAGCAGCTGTTTTTTTGTACCCATGCCTGCCATTTGGGTGTTGGGACTCTCAAGCCGTTTCTTCCCTTGCTTACAGTTTGGTGGAAGATGTTTGGCCACTGTTGATGCACCCGCCCTTAAAAATCACCTTTTCTTAGCACTTGGACGTCAGATGCCAGAGGGAATCATTTAGAAGCTTGGTGCTAAATTGACCAAGAGAGCATCAAGTTTGCTAAGTGATCAGATTTGACTGCGGAGATCTCTTTGGCACGTCAAGGGGCCAATGTCTATTTCTGATGCTTCTTGGTTTGAGGTTGGGTTTGAGGGAGGTGAGGGAGGTGAGGGACCACCGCTGAGTGTCTCACACAGGCATGATTCTTGGCCTGCTTGTGACGGCTCCTACCGCTGCCTCTCCTCTAGGCACAGAACGCTTCGCCATCTTTTGCTTGTTCAGGATGGGAGCTGACGTGTTTGACACCGATATGATGATCGTGGACCAGACCATCACAGATATATGTTTTGAAAATGTCACCATATTGTAAGTAGTATCCTTAATCCTCAGAGAGTGAAATCTGAAGTTCTGCCTCTTTTTTTTTTTTTTCCTTATCAGTAAAGAAAGCCTAATTACTGTCTTTAAATTCTGATGGCCTATGTCCTGACGGGCCTTGGATTTTCTTTTTTTTTCTCAAAGCATCAGCAGCTTCGGAAATATTTAAAAGTTACCCCCCTTTATTAGATGCAGAATAAAATAGGAATCTTACAATTCATACTAGCAAGCAAACAGTTGACTCAGTGACTCTGCTAATATTTATATGTCTGTCACTAGCGAACCTATGAGTATGATAGAATTCGATTTGAGGCTTAATGTAATACAGCAAATTTGGGCATAAAGTTGATTTTTCTTTTCCTTCACAGGAAATTCAGTACAAAACTAATGAAGTGGTAAAGCAAACTTACTTACAAACTATTCTCTTAAGCGCTTCTTACGGTGAATTTTAGGGTATTCATTCTCTTATGGCCGGCTTTTCTCGTGTACTCAAACAGTGTAGAACTCCTTGGCCACCTTAAGGGCACTTTTCTGGTGCTGCTCTGTGCAGGTTCATTATGGCTATCCTACAGAGAGTCAGAGACAGCTTTCTCAGGTAGCCGTGGACATCGTTTTTTTTTTTTTTAACCAACATGAGTTTTTCCCTGGCCTCTCTCTCAAAGTCTTTGTTAGCCTGCCTCCCTGAGGGATTTGTTTCTCGGGAGACCTCAGGATGCCATTTCTAGATCAAGTGGTCATAGCTGCCCAAACTGCCCACAGGCAATCAGGGGCACACGTTTGCCCAAGGCCGGTGACACTTTAGATATCAGAGGAGTCACGTCACACCGACAGGACCATAGTAGACAACGTTCTGTGGCTTCTGCAACAACTAGTGCCCCCGAGTAACTGTATAGGATGTTACCCTGGACTATTAGCAGTAACGCAGGCCGTTTTACAAGTTGTACTTAAGCCAACGGAATTTAGTTCTATCCCGCCTCGGGAATAGTCCCAAGTTCTTGTACACTTTAGACTGAAGTGTATTTCCTGCGCTATCTCTTTATCTCTATTTCTATTTCCAATGTTGCTAATGACTTTTTCTCCCCCTGCCAAAATTATCCCACTCACTAGTCGTCGCCTGTCTTTATATCAATCCGCCATTGTTCATGTTTTGCCACAGAGACAAAAATTCCTGTGTGGGGGTGGGATGGGGGAGTGTCTCCCTCCCCCCACGGGAAGAACAATACAAACGACTTGGAAGACAACATACGATTTATTGGCATTTGTGGGGTATAAATATTTTAAATTGGCCTAAAAATAGCTGCTGACAAATGTTCTAAATGTTAAAAAAAAAAAAAATGTGTTCTTTGTTACGACGCTTGTTTTTAATAAGTCTTCAATATTTATGAATCTCTGGTTTTCTTCTAAATATTGACATTTGTTACTCATTACCAGGAATATTGTATGTTTAGACGTTGCCAAGTAAGAAACTATAAAAATAGCTGCGTTGGTCCTTGGACGTATCCAAACTGTAGATTAGCCATTTGAATTTTAAAGTCCCAGGACTGAGACTACCTTCTGTCTTCAGGTGGCATCCACAGAAGAATGCAGTTCTAAGTGTGTTTCTCACGTAGTTTTGATGTTGTTTGGTTTGTTAGCGGTTTGGGGGTTTGTTTGTTTGTTTGTTTGTTTGTTGGGTTTTTTGTTGTTTTTTGTTTGTTTGTTTTTTGTTTTTTGTTTTTTGTTTTTTGTTTTTTGTTTTTTTGTTTTTTGTCAGAGTTTCTCTGTGTAGCTCTGGCTGTCCTGGAAGACCAGAGCCAGCACTGGCTCTGTAGACCAGGCTGGCCTTGAACTCACAGAGATCCACCTGTCTCTGCCTCTCGAGTGCTAAAGGCGTGTGCTGCCACTTGGTGTTGTGCTTTGCATTTTAGTAGCAACACAGTAGCTTTCTGTGCTAATGGTAATTTATCATACCAGGTAAGAGTAAAGCCAGTCTTTGAGCTACCTAAACTGCAGAGTATGTATCGTCTGTCTGTCTGTCTGTCTGTCTGTCTGTCTGTCTTCTTTGTCTACATGTTTGTATGACTTCGAGGGCACTTGTGAAATGGAGCCAGTGTGACAGTCAGAGGAAAACCTCTGGTGTAGACCCTCGCCTTGTACCTAGAATAAGACAGGAATAACCAGGCAAGCTGGCCTCACAGAGGCCACCACATCCGATTTATGGTTTTGGGGGACCCAAGCTAAGGTTCTGATGCTTGTTCAGCAAGCACCTACCTACTGAACCATCTCCCTAGGCAAACGAGAGAATTTCTGAATGGGTTCGAGTAAAGTCCTATCAGGTTCCCTCTACTTTTGCACACAGTGCTCTGTGAAGACAGAGCCTGTCCTCTGGGAGCCTGCTCTTTCACGTACACCCCTTTATGTTGGTTTTGGGGTCCTCTATAACCCGACAGTGGAGTGTTGGTAGCCATTGGCGAAGGTGAGGCAGTGGATTGACTTGATATGAAGGCAAATGGGAATTTGAGATCTCCTAGATTCCATCCAGGACAGGTAGTCATTTCCAGAAATTACACATATGATAGAAACATTTACAAAATGGCGGCATTAAAGAACTGCAAAGGAGAAACAGCAGTGTCAGAATGTTTCAGTCTTTTTTTTTTTTTTTTTGAGCACTTTGCCTGCTTACGTTGGCTCGACTGAAGCAAAGCCCTCGCCTGTTTGTGTGTGTTGTGCATGCATGTACACACATGCAGGTTCTTTTTGAGTGTTGAGTGTTCTTGTATGTGTATGGGGAATGTTCATACGTATATGTACACATGAATCTGGAGGTCAGAGGACGACCTTGGGCCCTGTCTACTGTGTTTTTAAAGACAGTCTCTCCATGGCCTAGAGCTCACTGATCAGGCTAGGCTGCCTGGCCAGCAACCACCAAGGATCTTCCTGCCTTCACCTCCCCCAGCGCTGAGATTACAGGTCCATGCTGCTGTGCCTGGTTTTTTTAAAAAATAAATTCTGGGGAATGGACTTGGGTACATGTACACACACTTGCTTGCTTACCAAGTATTTTACAAAAAAGGAAGAAAAAAAGAAAAGAAAGAAAGAGAGAGAAAGAAAGAAAGAAAGAAAGAAGGAAGGAAAGAAAGAAAGGAAGGAAGGTCATTCCCCAAGACTTTGGTTTAGAAGCTAACAGCTCTAAAAAATTATAGTGACCCACTGAGGCCTTTAGAAATGGACACGGTGTCTCATTGCGTATGGTTTAAACGCTGATTTTGAATATTGGAAAGACACCCAAGGGGTTTTAGTTTTGTTCTCTGTTGAATTAGACTCCGGAGCCATTGTAACTGCTCTTGATTTCAGCAACGAAGCAGGACCAGACTTCCAGGTCAAGATAGAAGTCTACAGCTGCAGCGCCGAGGAATCTTCCATCACCAACACGCCGAGAAAGCTGGCTAAAAAGCTGAAGACGTCCATCAGCAAAGCCACGGGAAGGAAGATAAGCGCAGCGCTCCAGGAAGAGAACCCAGAGGCGAGCGAGCTCGTCAGCTCCGTGGCGTAAGCTTCCTAATACAGTGTGTGTGGAATTCCAGAGTCTTGTCTTTCGATAATACGTTGGTACTTTAACTGGAAAAACAGCCTGCCACGGAGGGGAACTCGGTTGTGTGGTGTTCACCCGGGTGAGATGCGCCTGGCCCCTTCCTTTGAAGGATGGAAGGCAGGCGAATCGCTTTTGAGTCGTTTGGGGATTCCACGTCTAACCAGAAAGGCAAAATGTTTTTCTCAAAAGCGGCCTGTGTGTGTGTGTGTGTGTGTGTGTGTGTGTGTGTGTATTCAAGTATCTGCTACCTGACTCTGCTGAGTGGAGTTCTATATGTGCGTCATGCTTTTGTTTTCTTAATGTTCTTAACAAACCAATATATTTTTATCACACTTAACAAATTAAATAAGTCGTATGTGACCTGGTAGCCTGTATGTCTCAGACTGTACAGTCCCGAAATGATACTTTTGAGGCGTGTCTTTTCAAATCAGGTCGGTAGTACCGCATGTGAGTGAGCCTTTTAGGCTTGCTATAGTCGGTTACAGTTCCATCCACTGTTTTCTCTTGGCCTCATTTATTGAGGAAACCAGGTTTTGCTGGGCGCCTGCATTTGGAATCTAGCTGATCGTATCTCTGTGCTGCTTTGAAAACATTTCCCTGGCCCCTGTATTTCCCATTCCCTTATGATGGATCCGAGGGACTGGTTGGATTCCGGTTCTCAGGCCGGTGTGTTTTCTCCGTGCACCGTTAGGGGCTCTCTGTCTCACTTCTGAGCTAGGTGTTTCTAGGCTGATCTATCATCCATCATCAAGCTTGCTACCTGTCTTTTATTTGACGCTTTTAGCAGCCGTTGCCCATAATTCCGTGTTTCACTGGAGACATGAATCTGATGGCTCCCTAGATTTGCCCTGCGTGTCTTCTTCTTTTTAATTACTTCTCGGAGAGTTTGGTGCAGGGTGTTTTGATCATAACTCATCCTCTTCCACAGCTCTCCCCAGGTCCATCCCCTACCTCTTACTCACACAACTTCATGTCCCGTTTCCCACCCCCGACAAATCCTTCCAGACCAGTTTGTCCTGCCCAAAATATTCTTGGATCCTGGTTGATTGACCCGGGGCTGCAGTCTTAAAGAATGCTGTCTTTTTCTTTAGCTAGCAGCTAACAGTAGCCAATAGCTCCACAGCAAGGGGTGAGACTGTGTGTCCAACCTCCCTCACACCAGGCTGGGATGTGGTCCAGCTTGGGCTTCCACCGGTCCTGTGCATGTCGCAGCTGTCACAAGTTCCTATGAGCAGCTGCCTTGCTGTGTCCAGAACACACGGTTTCCGTGCAGTGGTCCACCGCCTCTGGCTCCTGGACCTTTACTGCCCTGTTTTCTATCTTAATCCCTGAGCCTTGGGAAGGGCAGGCACAGGATAGGTGTTCCGTTCAGTTGCCCTGCGATTCTCCATAAGCCAGCACTCTTGAAGAGAAGACAATTAACCTTCACACATTCTCTGACTGCAACTGCAATGACAGTCAAGGAGAGGAGAGAGAGAGAGAGAGGAACAATAGAAAATTAGTCCACTTACACTTGACTAAGTTTTGGTTACAAGCATAAAAGTGAGCAGGCTTTTATCTGAGCTCTCACTTTTTTACACTTTGGTGTTTTCCCATGTTACGGTTCTAATTCTCCCTCCTGCATCACGGGGACCCTGCAGAGTGACTGGAGCATCCTTTCGCCAAGCTGATCGCTGGAGGTGTGCGTGCTGTGTGCTTCAGTCGGGGTTCCTGATTCACTGTGGGGGTTGTTTGTTTGTTTGGTTGTTTCTGCTGAGTCCAGAGTCAGCATTTCTCACCAGAGCCCTGATTTCCTTCCTCTGCGGTCTTTAAACACGGTTTTATGTCTGTGTTTCATTGGGAAAGCGTCGACTCGGCCACATTCCTGAAATCTCTTTGCATGGCTAATAGAGCTTGCTCTTCGGCATATCTTGAAGGTTCTGTAATCACAGACATGAAATAGTCTAAGTGTTGATCCTGAGAACCTCAGTCATGAAACTTTAGCTAAGACCTCTTCCCATGCCAGATTCTCTGGTTCTGGTGCCTTTCCATCTTTTTCTTTTCTTTTTTCCCCTCCCTCCCTCCCTCCTTCCTTCCCTCCCTCCCTCTTTCCTTTCCTTCCTTCCTTCCTTCCTTCCTTCCTTCCTTCCTTCCACCCTCTGCCTCTCTTTCCCTCCCTCCTTCCTTTCTTCCTTTTTCTTTTTCTTTTTGTTTTGTTTTCATTTCATTGTTTTGTTTTTCGAGACAGGGTTTCTCTGTATAGCCCTGACTGTCCTGGAACTCACTCTGTAGACCAGGCTGGCCTCGAACTCAGAAATCCGCCTGCCTCTGCCTCCCAAGTGCTGGGATTAAAGGTGTAGGTCACACCACCCAGCTTTTTTTTTTTTTTTTTTACTGTTTTGATAGAGGCTCAAACCAAGAAATATGCTGTATGCTATGACTAACTGCAAAGTGCCCAACAGGTAGCACTGTTAGCCCTGGATAGTTTGTAATATACTGTTAGGTATATTTTTCATTATAGTTTATTCAGACTTACCAAAATAGCATCTATGAGTCACTGAATTGATTTTTCTGATCCATGAATAAATGAATCTCAATTTCTGGTCCGCAGTCCTAGAAGATTCTCTCCAACACAGATGTTAAAACCAAGGCAGGGGTTCTTGGTTCTTCTTCCTTGAGACCTAAGACTTAAGATATTCATTTTCCATTGGAATCCTGTTGGATTTTGCTGGAACGGGTTTAACGCTGTCATAAGGCATCTGTATCGGTTACTTCTTCTATTGCTGGGATAATACACTGTGACTGGGCCAGCTTATAGAAAGAAGGGAGAATTTATTTTGGCTCTGAGGTCCATGGAGACAGTGTTCATGACGGTAGAGCAAAGACATCCGGGCGGGATCGGGAAGCTGAGAGCTCACATCCCAGAGCACCAAGCACAGAGAGTGTGCCCACCCTCATGTGACCCAACACACTTCCCCCAACAAGGCCACACCTCCCAAACCTCCCCAAACAGCAGTGCATCAACTGGGATCACCTCATTCAAATGCTAGAGACTGTGGGAGTTGAGGTGACGGTGGGGTGGGGGACATCTGATTCAGAGCACTGAAGTAGTAGAAGCAATGCTTATTTTATAGAGATGCTTTCAGATCAAAATATGTTAGATCTGAAAGAGACTTCTGAGGTAACCATTTAGTACAGGGGTAACATTTCTTTTTTTTTTTTTTTAAAGATTTATTTATTTTATTGTGAGTACACTGTAGCTGTCTTCAGACACACCAGAAGAGGGCATCAGATCACATTACAGATGGTTGTGAGCCACCATGTGGTTGCTGGGAATTGAACTCAGGACCTCTGGAAGAGCAGTCAGTGCTCTTAACCACTGAGCCATCTCTCCAGCCCCAGGGGTAACATTTCTTAAGAGCAACATTGTTTAAGAAAGACCAGAACCAGCCGGGCAGTGGTGGCGCATGCCTTTAATCCCAGCACTTGGGAGGCAGAGGCAGGCGGATTTCTGAGTTCGAGGTCAGCCTGGTCTACAGAGTGAGTTCCAGGACAGCCAGGACTACGCAGAGAAACCCTGTCTCGGATAAACCAAAAAAAAAGAAAGAAAGAAAGACTAGAACCTCCATGGTCTCTTCCAGCTGCACCTGCCTGCTGCATTTCATGCCCTTTGTCTCTACTGGAAGGCAGAGGTGCTTAGATGAAGCCCCTTGCTCTCAAGGGCATTTTAAGGGGGGTTCAGACACCCTGAAAGCAAGTAGAGTTCTAAACACGTGAAAGTTTGCTGTTTGACAATGAGATATATATATATATATATATATATATATATATATATATATATATGTTTATCACTTACTGTTTGTGTGACCCAAGGTAGATAATCACACTCCCTGCCCCTGGGCCAACCCAAAGAGAGTAACGACAGAGACTCAGGGATATCTGACCCCATAGGACCATCATTACGAAATTCGATAAGCTAATCCTTGGGCTTTGTATACAGTAGGCACTTAATAACTGCACCTTAACGCTATCGTTACTCTTCTCCCTAGAGTTTTCCTTTCTGAATTCTTATAGAAGCACTCCAGGGACATACAATGTAGATGTGGTCTCACGTTTGTAATTTTGTAGACGATGATGTAGATGAGGCTAGGCCCTTTGTTTGGCCTGCATTTCTCTGCAAAGCCTAGTGGTTTTCTTGGGAGCTTCTCGTTGTGTGTTCCATTACTGCTCTCAGGAAAGAGCATCCCAGTCTTGATTCTTCGGTTTAAAATTGGCCTCCACTATTTGCCCATGAATTCGAATGCTGAGTTGTTTCGTTGTTGTTGTTGTTGTTTTATTTTGTTTACATGCCTTTGATTATTTTATACCACGAAAGTCTGTCAAAAGACGTGATAATACAGTGGATCGCATTTTACCCAGTCCTGTCCTCTGAGGACCAGCACTTCAGGTCTGAATATAGAGTGTGCTGGCTCACACACAGCCCACAGCCCCTCTAAACATTCACTTCGGTACTTGGTAGGGGCTTGTTCATAGCATTGGTATTCAGAGAGTGTAAGAGGATATATTTTGCTTTTTAAAATACAGATCAAGTTCAATGTTGAGACTTCCACTGCGGGTCTTATTTAGCCTCTAACCAAAATGAGTGTCTATAAAATAGTATGTAACTAGGAGATGGGATCTGGCCAAATATAGCTATTTTTTTTTCTTGACAAGAATCCATTTTTTTTTTCAGACTACCATCTAAATAGTATTTATTTTCCATACCCCTTGATTCCTCTCCCGCCCCCAATATTATAGCAATCAGTCTACTTGATAGGAAAAATGTAGCTGATTAAACTTTTGGGAACTCGGTAAAGGAGTGAGTGTAATGTTTTAGAGACAAGTTGTTAATCCTGACCAGAATGCTTCTCAAGTGAAGTCATTGTTGGTTTGGAAGATGCCCATGTAATTAGTCATGGGCTGAAAATGAAGCGACTTC